TTTGCTCAATGATCCTGACTTTGGTTGAATGATGAAAGAAAATGGAAAATAATTCACTGTTTCTGGCAAAAAAAATGAAAACCTATTAACATTCAGCCAACAAAAATATTGACAATAAGAACATATAACTGCCGTTTAGCTTGGAAATTTGATTATAAAAAGAAAATAACAAGAAATTAGCAAATTGTTGAAAAATTATGTAAAACTGAATTAACTATTTGTAATACTGTTGTGTCGGAAACCTACCACCCCTCTTGAAGATGAACTTGTCTGCGAACAAAGACGTTAAATAGTGGCATGTCAGAAGACAGAGAGACAGAGAAGTTCTTAGCTGACTTTTGATGTCTGTCGAACTCTCTGCGTTAGCAGAGAGGAACCCGGATGAAGCTTTGCCGAAGGGCAAGGTTTCGTCCGGGGAGGTAGACAGGGCTTGAACCCGTCTAGGCGGGTTCAAGGGCTATATTTTTGGCCGAGACTACGGGCTTGGATCAACCCACATTAAACTTGGCCTTGTGCCATATTCAATCCTCGTGGGGGGATCGATAAATACTCAGAGCAGTTCTTAGCTGAGCTAGTTATTGACTACTCAGGCGATTTCTGTACCTATTTACCAACCTATTAAAACCCTTTTTATTGTTACATGTTATTTGACGTTTGTCTCTACTAACCCCAAATCAACATCATAACAAATACAGATATTACTTTTGGTAGTCATCAGGAGGCAACCTTGATTAAAGGCCATTTAAACAGCTTTTCCAAGTTATTGACTCATTCTATGTACAAAGCATCTAAAAGAAAATATGGAGATATATTTGTTTGAAAAAATTGTCATGAAAGTTGAGGACATTAGCAGAATAAAAAGCTTGTTATTTACACATTATTCATACTCTTGTTTTCATCTTTATTGCCATATTTACAATGTTTCAGCCATTGTATGCTCTGGCCTTCTTCATGGGATATATGTTGGAATTTTGAACTGAACCTTTTATTGCATTCACTGGGGTAGATTATTCTAGTTCTACATACCATGCCTTTTCTGGATATCTCAGTATCAGTTATTTCCCTTTAATAAATTATCTAGCACAATACAATGAATCAATTTTCTTAGCTACAGACTTAGCAACTGATTTAATATACTGCTTCCATGTCAGCTGAAAATGTTAGTCCAAGAAGGCGTAATAAACCACTTTCCTGGAGGTTAGCATCAGCAATGCTGATGGAAGGTAAGAAGTGTTCTCTCAGATGATTAAAAGAGAGCAGTGACATTTTTAAGGCGTTAACATTGACAAGCCACTTCTTGCCCCATTTAACAACAGATGGTAGGTCATTTTTGAAGTCAGCTACCAATTTGACTTTATCGAGCTGCTCAGACTTACTATTGACAGGAGTAAATAGTTGTGTCATCAGCATAGATACAGAGTTGAGAACTGATGACATCAGGAAGATCATTTATGAAAATTAGAAACAATGTAGGTCCAAGGATAGAGGTCTGGGGAACAACTGCATTCATACAAAAAGATCTAGAAGAGTAGGCATTCAAGACAACTTTCATAAAGATTTGATAAGACTGAATCAGTTCAAAAACTTGTCCAGAAATACCATTACCTTTCAAATTGTGAAGACTAGTATTCCAAATCCTATCAAATGCTTTTGAGATATTCAAAGCAACATTCTTATTTAAAGCTTGATAGACGCTTTTAACAATAATTGTTAATATGTCAGCAGTTGACCTAGAGAAGTGAAGCCATATTGCTTATCTGAAAGAAGATCCTGCGATGTGAGGTGCTTAACCAATTGAGAGTTAATTAGAGCTTCTAGTACATTGCCAAAAAGAGGGAGAAGACTAATAATTTCTGATTTTCTTTTTCAACAAATAGTACAGACAACGCAAGTTATTTTTTCAAGGTCAGACTTTGTTTTCTCGTTTGCTGCCATAGCTACATACAGTTTTAAAATCATAGTTGTCCTACTCCTAGACTGGATGCCAACCACAGCTAAAGAAACCAGTCTGCCCTGCTATTTAACCCATAGCTGGGACAATAAGATATAGATTCATTTCTTTTGCAAGGGTATTTGTATGAAAGTGGATACAACAAACCAGAGAGGTTGATTTCTCATTCCAAGCCTTCTAATCTTACACCATCTGCATTAAACCCAAGAGTATCATTTCACTAGGTTTTGATTAAATTTTTTTTCCTAATGTAACATAAAAAATAAAATTATTCTTTGTACTAAGTTTAATAAAAAATGTATTAAAATATTCTTAAACTATTGGTTATATGAGGTTAGAAAATGAGCATACATGATGAAAAAACAAAATTTTATCATCAAAATCTTTATTATTAAGAGGAAAAACAAAACAAAACAAAAAAAAAACAAAGAAATTTTTTTATGTAGAATTAATTTTTGTTGTTGTAATCCTTTTTAGAACATTCTAAATTTTGGTTAAAAATCTTGTTTTTTTGGAGTCAAAGGGTGGGGGAACCATTTCACAAAATACTTCAGTTTGATGTTTTGGCACACATCACCAGTGATATTTTTAGGCAAAATATCAAACCAGTGCATTTCACAAAATGGTTAGTACAGAAAATTTGAGCATCATTTTGCAGTGAAAAATATATTGATCTGGAAATACTTGCAAAAATCAAAAAATTGTCAGAATTTAATGAAACTTTTAGGTTTATTCACAAATGAATGAAATTTTTTTTAAACATTTCTTTTTTTAGAAGATCTTGGTAAAAATATTTTTTTTTTTTTTTTTTACATGTTAACCACCTCTTACTTAATTTTATGAAATTTCAAGAAATTCTTTTTTGTACCGCTTAATAATGTTTATGTTAGTTATAAGAACTAATCCTTGGAGAATTTTAATCATCAGTTTTCTTTGGTCGAATAAGACCCCCAATTAGAGAAAATTTGCTTTGAATCGTAAAATAAAAAATGTAATAAAACTAAAACAATATTGAATTAAAAATACTTGTAATTGCTTTTATTATGGAGACTATTGTCTTAAAAAAAAAATTTTCAATGAAGAATGTATTTTTACAAGAAGCATTTTAATTTGTTAAAATTTTAATTATAATAATTTATATAGTTTTAAATCTTTTAAAATTCTGTATTAATTTGTATCAGTCAAGTGGTATTTTTATTAAATAAAAACTGTATTTAAGTGGAAAGGCTTACTATAATTCTGTGATCCCCCATAAAAATGTGCTGATTTTTTTAAAAAATACGGATGTCCCTACAAGACATTATCAGAAAATAAGAGCAGTATGGTAAATTTCAAATTTATTGGTAATTTTCTAATATTTCCTCAACAATGATCTTCGTAAGTAAGAAATCCAAAGTACCTAGCTAAAATTTAATAAAATATTAGAATGTTTAAAATATTTTAAATATTTAAGATTATTACAGGATAATGATTCCAAAGTATTTTGTTTATCGGGAATATCTATCTATATTAGCTTAAAATTTAAAACTATGAAAGCTTCAAGAAAGATTTTTTCATTTTAAAAATGCATTTTTTAAAACTTACGTGTCCCTATCTTGGACCTGGAGTTACCTAGAAAGTTAAAGGTAATTTATTTTTAAACATAAATACCAATTTCTCGGTTATTGCACAGCTAGTGTCCGTATTGCTTTAATTTTTAATTTTTCGCGCTTTTTTTTTTTTTTTTTTTTTTTTAAGTCGGGTGAAATTATCAAGTTTGTTTTTGGTTTTGATCACAGGCTACCGTAAAACCGTTATTTTCATTATATTTTAAGTAAAAAGTAAGCATTAGTTTTAAAAAATCCAGTTAATTAATCCTGACTTTGAAACGCATTTCTAGGAAAAATTTTCAATTTTTAAATTTGTTGTTTACATTTTTCATAATTGCGGTTCTATGAATGATGAATGAATGCCAATGTTAAAAATACCTCAATTTTTTTTATGTACGAAAATTAATTTTTCTTTTAATACAGATTAGCTTTAGGATATTACCTTTCAAATATAAAAAAAAACAATCAAAATTTAACTTTAAAGAAGATATTTAAATTATTTAAAAAATTAAAATGTGTTTTCTTTTTCCAGGTTTCTGGGAAGTCCATGGCGATATCTTCCAGTAACGACAACGTAGTGTTTCAAAGTTAATTTCACCGTATATGCAGTGGAACGAGGACTTTTGTTTGCTTTGTTCGAATAAAAAACATCGTTAAATTTCCATAGCATAGTGTATTTTTTTAGTTAATTGATCTTATTTTTAACAAACAAGTTTGTTTTTACGGAGTAAAATAAAGAACTTTTTACTCAACTGGACAAAGAGCCGCGATAAACTAGAAAAAGTGAACATTTATTTTAGTTTCTAATTTTAATTGAATCGGTTTTCTTTGGGTTTCCTTCTAAGAATGGATGATTTATTTAGCGTAGCTTAGGTGTAGCACAAGGCCACAATTATAGAGCACCCAGTGAGGATCGAACTCACTACTCAGTCATCATAATTGTTAGACAAGCTTGCTAACCAGTGTTACACCACGTTGAAGTGCACCCTTCTAAGAATGAAAAATACAATTAGCATTGATATGATGTAAATAATGAATAGCTGACCTTTAGGAAACTGTAATTCTGAAGCATCTTCTTCGGTTACATCATTTGTATTTGCAGAAGCCGTACTAGCTGAAGCAGTCATTTTTTATTTTTTGCTTATTATCTTGGACTTAAATTCTTTAAAAACTGTAGTTTCAAGTATTGTCAACATGAACGATAACTCTGTTTTTAAATTGATTCATTAAATCACGAAAGACTTCCACTTCCGGTTTAAGCTTATCCTAGCCATTTCAATCTTCAGTTGTTATTGTTGCTGAGACCTGCTTGTATCGACCTTTTGTCTACTGCTTATACGCTCGTCACACATAGACTGTCTTAAACAAGTACAAATTACTTTATTGTTTAATAATAATTTGAATAAACGACTTTGGTCGTCAAAGTAGCACTCTGCCCACAACAAGTAACAGAGCCAACGATGGCTACACCAACAACCAGCAATATTAAATACGAAATGCTCGAGGATGAAGATGAGGGAGATACATCAGAAGAAGGATCAGAAATAATTATTATAACCCCAATCCATAGTGATCGTGAGGACGATGATACACGTGTTTTGAACATCGTTCTATCAGCTAACAACAACATAAGAAGGAATTCAAGCCCTTCTTCATTCACAGCTCATCTCCCCCATTTAACAAATAATGATAGTATCGCTTCTTCTATGCCAGCCTTCTCTGCTCAGCCTTCTTGTGCTTCTTCTACGCCACCACCCCCACCTTACGAGGGAGCAGAAGCCTCTCCTCAAGCCAGTGGTACCACAACTTCGCTAAACTTGGCCGAGTCTGAAAGTCAAGACATGGTCACGTTGATGATGATTTCGAGCAGTCACAAGATGTCACCAAGTAATGGTGCTGTTCACCAGCAGAATGTCCTGGGTGGTCACGCCTTACCTTCTTACGATGTGGCAACTGACCTGCCTTCTTATGAAGAGGCTGAAAGATCAAAAGAAGAAGAAATGAGACGGGCTGAACAGACTGACTCGCAACAACAAGACGAGGAAAGAAATAACCTCGATACTACCGAACATCTCACGAGCATGGCCATAGGTAATTTTTTTTTATTCAATTTTCTCTTTCAATAATTAAAAAAATATAATATACCAGTTACTAATAGCCAAGCATTAAGACATCGGGGCGGAGTGAAGATTAGGATAGGGAATCATGGGGTTGAATCACTCTCATTCCCTACGTATTCTACTAGTAAAAAGATTGTTACACTATGAAAGCTTATTTGCAAGAACATACTTCCTTTGTGGAGCAGACTCCTGCGTCGGTGCTCACCTGTACACTACAATCTGAAGTTAATCTTCTATGGAACAGATTTCCGCGTTGATACTTCCCATCTCAAGTTAAAGATTGACCCTAGTAAAAATGAAGTGCTTAAGACTAAAACCTCTTTAATTCTAAGGTCAGTCGTCCGTTATCTATTCTCATAATTTTCATTTACTATTTCCTCCTATTATCACAATACCCCATTCAGTAAGCCTCTACCTTGAGTGGCTCTTGGGCCTTGTATTGGGTGAACATTAGTTTTAAAAAGAAAAAAAGTCAGAGATTGTTGATGTCAATCATCCAAGCCTGCTTGTATGTCTTAAATCAGCATTCGAAATCTTGGCTTTTTATTTGGGATTTTTGAAAGCCAACCTCTGGCACTGGTTAAAAATTTACTCAGCGGTTTTTGTTTTTTTTTTGTTTTGTTTTTTTTAATTTTAACTTATCTGGTACAAGTCAATAGTGGGATACCCAATTCGGATCAAAATCACTACAGTACACGAACGAATTTGTTTGCGAATCTAGATTTCTAATCATAATTACCACTTTTTTTCTTTTTTTTTTAGTGGGTACCCTGTACCCTACATAAGGTTATGGCGGGTACCCACTATAATCTTTTGATAACTTATCTCCAGGTTAGCCTTCTTCTTGTTCTTGTATATTGAATATCCTCCAAGTCCGAGTTTCATTTCGCAACAGAAAAGTCAGTGTTCGGCCTTTGTAAATTACAGTATTGAAAAAAAGTCAAACCAAAAAAAAAAAAAAAAACAGCTATTTCTATACTTTTTTTTTTTTTTTTTTTTTTTTACACAAGAATCGCAATATCCTGGATACTTAAAACTTTCGAAAATATTTTTTATGGATACTGTATCCATAAAAAATATTTTCGAAAGAGTTTTTATCTTTTAAATTTTTTTTTTTTTTTTTTTTTTTTTAATGATTTCACCCAAAAATTTTATGCATGTGTTTTTTATACTTTTATTTATTTTTCATTTTAATTTAGCTTTAATTTTTTTTTTTTTTTTTCACTTGCATTAAGAAAATAAAATAAAAAAATTATATATCTTCAGCTAAAAATTCCCTAAAAGACTCTGAAAGGAGTGTTTAGTTTTAAAATTTGCCGGAAACTAGGAAATATTTGAAAATATTTTCCTTGTAAATAAATAATGTTGTTGATACCGTCTTCGGAAAGCTGACTGCGCTGGTAAAAGTAAAAAAGGCAAAAAAAAGTAAAATTGTTTTTTTTTTTTTTAATTTGCCTCATTAAAAAATACAATTTTAAACTGAAGAGGAGCTTTTTTTCCCTTTATTTACACAAAAAATGACATACTGTGACAGGACGGTTATTCAATTTGATTTGTTTACAGTGTACACGCTAAAAAAGAAATGTAGTTTCAAAAAGTTATTGTTTAGTGATTTTCTTCTTTTTTTTTTATTTATTTATTTATTTTATTTTTTTTTTTTTTAAATAATTCAATTGACACTTGAAGTTGAGTATTTAAAAATAAAAGCAGCTTTTGTTTAAGGAAGTTAAAACACTAATCTGCAGTAAATACACCCGCAATTTTATGTAAAAAAAAAAAAGTGTACTGTAAAAATGAAACATTGGAAACCTCTTCCTTTTTTTTTTTTTTTTTTTTTTTTTTTTTTTTTGTCTTATTTTTAAGTTTGAAATTATTGAAAAATTCTACCATTTAATTAGAGAAAGAAAAGGATTTTTGTGCCAAATAAACGTCTCTCCAGTTGTTACTTTTTGGATTTTTTTCTTTCAATCGCCTCACCACCCGAACTTATTAAGAACCTGTTCTCCGTTTTTTGATTGCTGAAAAATAAAAGTATTCTCGATTTTGTTAGTTTTGAACTTTAAATAAAATTCTTTAAACTTTAAAAGACATTGATTGAATATTGATTGATGGATATATTTATTTTTAGTTCTTTGAGGTTATTATAGTTTGAAAAAGGCTTTTCTTTTTCCGATCACCCCATTTATTGACCCCCTTCCCATTTATTTTCCGATCCCCGCCCCTTTTATTTGATTTACGAAAGTAAAGGAAAAGGTGCTCTTTTATTTACGAGCAGTTTTAAAAACATTTTTAAAGAAATCTGATTTTTTTTTTATTATAGAAAAAAAAGCAATGTGTCGGTCTTCCTTTTTTTTTTTTTTTTTTTTTTTTTTTTTAATTTAAATCTTTGAAGATTGTACTTATCAGGGAAGCAAGGAAACTGAAATGAGTTCCACAGGCAGGAAGTGCGAGAAAAGAAACTGTTGAAGTAGAAGTCTTCAAAGAACTTTCGTGTAGTAAAAATATAATGGAAAAATTCTTTACTTTGATATTTTCTCCCTTTTCATGAGTGCATTTTAAAATCTTTTTTTTTTTTTCTTTTTTTTAACTCTCGCCACCATATTTGCTAAATTTCTCATCCTGTACTGTAAAAAAACAAAAGAAAATACGAAAACCGAATCCAAAAATATTCTCCTCACTTATGTAATAATTTCAACTGAAGTTTTAGTATTGTGGGAAATAAAGGTAATAAACACACTTGGGAAGTTTATTTGAGCCACAGATGTCAGTTTTTAACATTTTATCATGATAAAAAAAGATAACACAAACTTTTTATGGAAGAAGGTTAAGGTTTTTTGAGTGTTTGCTCTTTATTTTTTTCATTGATGCTTCTATGATTGAGTGTGTGATAAAAATGGACAACCAGCTTGGTAATTGATTTACATTAATAAATCAAATAAAAATAATTCTCTTCTCTTTTTACTAAATCTTTTGCTCTTAATTATTGTATAACAATAATTCTTGGCATATACAATGACATCACTTATGATTCTTTTTCACTGTATTTCCTTCCAGGGTATGGTTATTATTTTACTTAATGATGATAGTTTACATGATTTAACAATGTCAGGACTCTTTTCTTTCTTTCTCTCAAATTTCAAACGTCAGCTTCTTGGATTAATAACAGTTGTTTTTTAAACTTTAAAAATCAAAAAAGGTTAAGTTAAATTTTGGGTCTAAAAGTAAGTATATTTGGTTGGTTGATCTCTTGATCATTCTTTGGATGCTACAGGTTTGAAATGGACGAGGTTGCTGTTGGTAACTAGTTTGTAAGGGAGAGTTGGCATTATGACTTGTCGCTGATTCAGATGGAGACTAAAAAACTGATAGCAAGACTACCTGCACATATCATTTTGATTATAGTGGTAAAGGTTTGTGCAGAACCAACCATGCTTTTTGGAAGAGCCGAATATGGAGAATTGGCACACAATATGCCACCAGGTCCCCAAACCACCAGAATTCAGTTTTCCTTCTCCTAGACCAATTGCCACCCAAGGCTATAGAACCCAGTCTGTCCTGCTATTTACCCACAGCTGGGGAAGAAAAAGAGGACTCATACCTTTCCCGAGGTTATTAGCATGTAAGTGAATGTAATTAATTTAACTGGAATTTGAACTCGGCTCTCCGATTCCTCAATCCGAGCTACTATCCATTACTCCACTGTGCCTCCTACACACACACACACATATATATATATATATATATATATATATATATATATAATTCACTTTCTGTGCTTGCAGTCCTAACTCCACCTTTTGAAAAATTAATAAATAATTAGTTGAGTGAAAGCAGTTGTTGAACAGAATCACTTATGTCAGAAAAACTTCAGTAAACAAAACTGATATATTTCAAAATTTATGTAACAATGAAAGGAAGGGAGTGATTCTTTGTCATAATTTTGAATGAGCAGGTAAAAACATGATTAATTTCTGTTTGAAGTATCAGGATAATTGTCCCATTCCAATAAAATTTTGGTAAACGTGGACTTTCATGCCTGAAATAAGATGGAGTGTCAAAAGAACGGTTTTTCCCATGACACCGCTTCTTTTTTTTTTTAACTATCTTCACTCTTCAGCAATGTTTATTGTTTTAAAAAGCGAATGATTAAAATTTTAATAAAACCTAAACATATAAAAATGAATTTATACATTTCTTTGAGAATTGATAACAAAATAATGAACATTTATTTATTAGATTGTTTATTTACACTATTTATTATATTATTGGAATGGTTGGCAAAACATTGGATAATTGTCAATTGATTCAAACTTTATAAAGTGTTAAATAAGAATTTCCTTATAGTAGGTTCACATTTTAATAAATGTTTAAATTTATGAGAATTTTTTTCATTTTTTTTTATGAATTGGTAAATGATAAATATTGCATTCCATTAGTTTTGATACAATTGTATTAAGTTTTAGAATGTTGTAAATATAAAATTATTATAAATAAACAATCTAATAAATAGTGATTAATATTTTTTGTTATAAATTCAATTTCATCGTATGAAACAATTTTTTTTTTAAATATTGCCAAAGAGTGAAGGTAGTTTAAAAAAAAAAAAAAATGCATCATGGGGGAAAAACCATCCTTTTGACCCCATGTATTATTGTGAGCATGAACATCCATGTTTGCCAAAATTTTCCTGTCAGTTGCCTCTTGGATATTTTCCCCCATTAAGAGAAAGTTATCATGATTACATCATAACAATTGCGATGCTTCTCACATGTTCTTCTGCTTCATGTTGATGTAGCCATAATCTTTTAATGTTCACTTTAAACAAACTCCATGGTGGATTGATATTTAAAAAAAGATTATATGCTTCAAGTTTAAGCAGTGAACTCAGACTGGTCATTTCTGGTTTCCAAACCACCCATATTTTAGCAGCTCGGAATAACTCTAAAACTGACAATGGTGTTAGGTCAATTC